TCTAACTTGTTGGCTGCTGTTTGAAAGCTGCTTGTTGTTGTTTAGTCGTTTCGTCGTGTCCGACTCTTCGTGACCCCCTGGACCAGAGCACGCCAGGCACTCCTGTCTTCCACGGCCTCCCGCAGTTTGGTCAGGCTCATGTTTGTAGCTTCGAGAACACTGTCCCACCATCTCATCCTCTGTTGTCCCCTTCTCCTTGTGCCCTCCATCTTTCCCAACATCAGGGTCTTTTCCAGGGAGTCTTCTCTTCTCATGAGGTGGCCAAAGTATTGGAGCCTCAGCTTCAGGATCTGTCCTTCCAGTGAGCACTCAGGGCTGATTTCCTTAAGAATGGATAGGTTTGATCTTCTTGCAGTCCATGGGACTCTCAAGAGTCTCCTCCAGCACCATAATTCAAAAGCATCAATTCTTTGGCAATCAGCCTTCTTTATGGTCCAGCTCTCACTTCCATACATCACTACTGGGAAAACCAGAGCTTTAACTACCTTTGTCGACATGGTGATGTCTCTGCTTTTTAAGATGCTGTCTAGGTTTGTCATTGCTTTTCTTCCAAGAAGCAGGCGTCTTTTAATTTCGTGACTGCTGTCACCATCTGCAGTGATCATGGAGCCCAAGAAAGTAAAATCTCTCCCTGCCTCCATTTCCTCCCCTTCTGTTTGCTAGGAGGTGATGGGACCAGTGGCCATGATCTTAGTTTTTTTGATGTTGAGCTTCAGTCCATATTTTGCGCTCTCCTCTTTCACCCTCATTAAAAGGTTCTTTAATTGCTCCTCACTTTCTGCCATCAAGGTTGTGTTTTCTGCATATCTGAGGTTGCTGATATTTCTTCTGGCAATCTTAGGCTAGTCCTTAAAAAATGCAGGAAATTATTATTCTGTCTAGAAGTCGGACGTGTGTGGAGGGAAAGAAGACCCAAGAAAATATCTGTGAACTTGAGATCAATACCAGGAAAGGTCCTAGAACAGATAACTTGACAGTCGGTCTGTGAGCACTTTGAAAAAGTATGCTATGACTACTAAGACCCCCTCCCAAAAAACGTGCCCAGGACAACGGCCCCCTCTATCCCCCCCCCCACACTCTACGCCACTGGACCTGCCAACCAGCAACAAATCCACCAAACAGTTCCCTTCTTCAATCCACATTTTACCAGCTTCCTCACAACAGTATCATGGGGGACTTTGTCAAAAGCCTTACTGAAATCAAGATACACTATGTCCACAACATTCTCCTGATCCACCCAGCTTGTTACTCCATAAAAAAAAAAAGAAAGAAAGAAACAGAAATGAGGCTCCCCATGATACTCTAGTGGAGAATCGGGTAAAATGTAGGCTGAATTAGATGACTGTTGGGTGGATTTGTTGCTGGTTGACAAGTGGGGGGCTGCAGGGATCTGTCCTGCGCCCCTTGTTGTCCAATGTCATTCTAAATGACTTGGATAAAGGTGTTGAGGCGATGCTCATCCAATTTGCAGATGACACCAAACTGGGAGGTGTAGCCAGTCCCGCAGGAGACAGAATCGAGATTCAAGATTACTCATTCATTCAACCTTTATTGGCATAATTTCAATATTACTTTAACAGATTGGAGAACTGGGCCCAAACTAACAGAATGAATTTCAGTAGGGACAAATGAAAGGTTCCACAGTTAGGCAAGAAGGACTAGATTCACAAAGATAAGATGAAGGACACCTAGCTTACTACTTGTACGTGTGAAAAGGATCTAGGGGTCTTAGTAGGCCATATGCTTAACATGAGTCAGCAGTGTGATACAGCAGCAAAAAATGCTAACACTATTCTAGGCTGCATCAACAGGAGTATAGTGTTCAGATCAAGGGAGTTAATAGTCCCACTCTATTTTGTCTCGGTCAGACTACATCTGGAATACTGTGTCCAATTCTGGGTACCACAATTTAAGAAGGATGTTGACAAGCTGGAACATGTGCAGAGGAGGGTGACCAGCATGAGACAGGGTCTGGAAACCAAGTGCTACGAGGAACAGTTGAGGGAGCTGGGTATGTTTAGCCTGGAAAATAGGAGATTTGACAGCCATCCTCAAATATCTAAAGGTCTGTTACAAGGAGGATGGAGGAAGCTCTGAAGGACAGTGCCTGAAACAGTGAATTCAGGTTACAAGAAATGATATTCTGACTAAACATCAGAGGTGGGGGGGGGTGCGCCACCTGCACCGAGCGTCCCGGTGGGGGGGGTGTTCCAGGGGGTGTGCTGCCTGCACCAAGCACTGTCCCGGGGGGTGGCACGGCGATGTCACCCCCCCCAGGGATGTCACCTGGGGCAGGCCGCACCCACTGCACCCACCTTGCTCCGCCTCTGATAGTACACCATCATCATGGCTAGTTGCTATCTCCAGTACTGGAGACAGGATGTCTCTGAATACCAGTTGCTGGAAAACGCAAGTTGGGAGAGTGCTATTTTGCTCCTGTCCTGCTTGTGAGCTTCCCATAGGCGTCTGGTTGGCCACTGGGAGAGGAGGATGTTTAACGAGATGGATCTCTGCTCTGGTCTGTGTGGGGCCTGCTTTCGAGGAATAACTGGCAGGTAAGTAGAGTGGCCGACCCACTGCCCTGCAAGGTGATCCAGGTCCAGGAGGATGCCATGGTCAAGGACAGTGAAATCCATCAAAAGAATCACACTCTGTCTGTCAACCTAGTAGCAATTTGTGCAGGGAGAAGTTTCTATCACATAATAGAAACTTAGCTTATTTCAAAATCCAGTATTTACCAGTGATGACCCAGCCAAATTTGAGCACTTTTAAGTTCCACTTACTAAAATAGGAGAGAGAGATGTGCTTAACTTACTCACTGAAAGCAATGAGGCTTAAATAGTGAACTCCCTTTACTTGGGAGATATTTTAGGAGAGTGAACAATAAAATAAATAATAAAGGGAATATTATAATGCAAATCAGATAGAAAATAGATATGCATACGCAAACAAATATTGGAATTATATACTTATAAATGGGTAAAACAAACTGCAAAATAAAGAAATTTTGTGAAACTCTTCAACTTTTATAGGAATGAATGTTAAACTATAGGCACAACAGAAAGACTTTTACCAATCTGTTGTGCAAGTTTACTAAGAAAATGTTTGCTATTAAAATGCAAAAGCGGGCAGAATTTCTCCAGCTACTGCTAGATTGTCTGACCAGTAAAGGAGATAAACAATATGTTCTCTGTTACAAGCGAACCTGCAGTTAGAGAATTGGATGTTCTACAACTCTGTTTCTACAAGTACAGCCTTCCTTCGTTCTGTACTCTTGCACAGCACCCTTTCGCAACTGCTGTGTGCATCGCCTGGAAATAAGAGGCTTGGTCTGGAAACTGAACTTCCACAAGCATTTGTGGCTGCACTATAATCATTTTTAGCTGCTGGCAATCTAACTTTCATGAGCATTACTATGGTTGTTGATATACTTATCCTCAATTAGCTAATATGTTTTCTAATAATATGCTAGCTAAAAGTTCTTACCAACTATACAGGCTTTGATGGCTGGTGTACATTTGGTCCTGTGTATGGGGGTGGAGAGGAAAGGATTTTCTGGTCCAGTACTTTGTATGAGGATGGGGTTCTCTGACCCACTCACAAAAGAGGATACACATTTACATAAAATTTGCATGTGCAAATTTATGCCCTCTTTGCAGGTGGAGTGGAGGTCCCAAAAATAAATCATTAGCTACACACATAAAAAATGTGAACAAGTGAAGCTTTCCCAATAATTGCATTTCCATACTAGAAATAGCTTAATTTCTGCATGCCACATAGCTGATCCCTACCTTCCCCCAATGCCAGTCTTGAACCAAAGTCTAGTCTATAATCCAGTGCCCTCCTTCCTGGGAGTGCACCCATTAGAGACAGATAAACATGCACACCATTGCACTGGAAGTTGGTTGTACAGTGGATTCTTAATGAGTCTTCAGTTCCTGCACAGCTGAAGACACGCTAAGCCTCTCTGCAAAGTTCTCAGTTTTCTTTAACATCCACTCACACTTATTGGTATTTGCAGATATATATATTATATTTGCAGATAATAACTTATCTTATATTATTGGTATTTGCAGATAATAACTTATAGGGAGTACCAGATCTCAGACGAACCCACACAGAAAATAAGCATCCTGGTTGTTAGGAAAAAAAGGAAGGACAAACTACAGAAATTAAAAGGACTAGAAAATGAGCAGAAGTGCACTAAAGGAGGGGGGTGAACATTAGCTCTTTGGGACCCCAGAAATTCCTGTCACCTAGTGTCCAGACAACTCAACTCATCAATCACATCTCTGACTTTACTCATTGGAAGAAAGGACTGAAGGGCTGGCTCATCTCACTGAAATCCTAGAAGGGTGCATGCACATTTTGCTTCATGGCTTCCTTTCTAGGAGGGCTAGACACTTGCCTTAAAAAAAATGAAGAGGCCCCTGCTGTGTCTGAGGCCCCTGCTGGTCAATGGCCCATCAGCCACTTGCCAAGAGCATGGCCAGCAGTACCTACTTGACAGTGGTCCTCCTTGTACATTCCATTCCCAACCATCAGGCAATATCAGTGTGCTATTTTGAGGAAACTGATGCTGCTTTGAAGACAAGGGCTGGACAGAGAGGGATGCCACAAGTTATGCCAGGGAATTTGAGGCGAGGGACCAAGCCAGGAGTCAGAGCTGAAGAACACACTGAAACATGAGAGCAAGGAAAACTGGAGTTGCTCAGGCCAAGCGCCAGCTCAAACAGGAAGCCCTTTATATCCTTTTCTGTCCAGGAGGGCTCAATGGCCAACCCAAAGCCTGAGAAAATTTTGCACACCCTTCCCCTGCCGAAGATGCTTTCACTTGCAGTTCTGGTGGTTCACCACATGGGGCAGCTGTGCACAAAGATTAGGGTTCCTGGTTCTAACCCCAGCAGCTCCTGACATTGGTTGCCTACCTGCTGTCTCTCATGCACAACTAGTGCTATTTGTTGTTTGTTTCACAAAATTTATACACCACTTGATTGCAGAAAAACCTCAAAGCAGTTTACAAAAAATTAAAACAATAAAATCATCACTAAAAAAATTACAACCATAATTTAAAACATACAAAAGGTTAAAACCACAATAGAATAGACTAAAACAAATTAAAACTCATACAAACTTTCTAAACATCTGAGTAGGCTTGTTTAAATAAGAATGTTTTTCTCAGGCACCAGAAAGAATACTGTGAAGACCCCTGCCTGATCTCAATAGGCAGGGAGTTCCAAAGTACTCGTGCCGCCACACTAAACGACCGAGTTCTTACAAATGTAGTGCAGGTATTAGGCGGCAGCTGAAAAAGTTCCAGTTCCATCAATCAAAGCCGTTGAATAGGTGCATGTTGGGTAAGGCAGTCTTGAAGATCAACTGGAGCCGAGTTGTTAAGGGCTTACATTATGGACGAGGGCATTTCTCCAGAAACAGATACTACAGGAACAGAATTAAACACCTGACAAGAAAACTTGCTATGACTGCCTTGAAAGCTCTCGCTGTTAGGGAAGGATTCATTCCACCCTGAATTTCATTTAAAATAACATTCAACACCACATTTTGTGGTAGCCAATTTCTGACCAGTGCTTTTTTCCCTTTAAGTGTGCACTTGAACACAAAATGCAGCTAAAAAGCTGATAATGTAGAGCTCCGTGCCAGGAGGAGCGGCTCCTTCACTGCGGCGCTTGTCCCTGGTGCAGCTCTGCCCACCCCACCCCCCGGGTCAGGCCTGAAGGAGAGCAAGCAAGTGGGTGGCAGCGTTGCCACCGCCCCTCCTCAGCCATGGCACATCCCACACCCGGTGGCAGCAGAGAGCAGCTTCCCTGCCCCTCTCCTACCCTGAACTGTTGTGCACCCCACCCCTCCGCGCCCTACCCCCCTTGGGCACAAAAGTGCCAAGATAAGTTTAGGACTTATCATCTTTAAATGGAGAACTACTTAGCCCTACATTAGTTTCAAGGTGAATTGGAGAATTTTGAAATACCTTGCAGGGTTTGGGAGAAGATAAAAATAGAGCAGAAGGCGAACCATGTTGGAGCTTCTTGGACGAAAGGTGAGATATAAATGTAGTACATAATAAACTCTGTTTTCCCCTTATTTTTGGTCATAGTTTTCATCAGGACCAAAGCATTGGGCAGGGGTAAAGGCAAAGGATCCCTGGACGGTTAAGTTCAGTCAAAAGTGACTATGGGGTTGCAGTGCTCATATCACTTCAGGCTGAGGGAACCAGTGTTTGTCTGCAGACAACTTTCCGAGTCAAGTGGCCAGCATGACTAAACTGCTTCTGGTGCAACGGGACACCATGATGTAAACCATAGCGCACAGCAATGCTGTTTAGCTTCCAATCAGCAAGCACAAGAGGTTCAGTGGTTTAGACCACAGTGCTCAACGTTGAACCTATCAAGTGGTGATAGCGATGGTGAAGAGGACTTTATTCACTGCCTCTATGGCATCTGCAGAAAATAGCAGCTCTAACCTGTGTCCAGTCAGATTCAGAGTGAATTTTCCACCACCAGCGCTCTAGCCATCTAAGCAATTGTTTCATTGCCCTCAGCTCTGGGGAAAACCATGGGGCTGTCTGGGCTCCATGCATCCGGAGATGGTGCTTCAGAGCCAGACAGTCAATACCTGCAAAATCATTGCAGGAGATCATGTGGCCCGTACTGGGCCCTGATGTAGCAGGTGGTTCTGCTAAATTGCAAACCACCTGAAAGAGTCTCCTGCTGCCATTTCCCGCAGATGCAATAGAGGCGGTGAAGAAAGTCTTCTTCGCCGTCGCTATCGCCACTTGGTAGGCTCAACATTGAGCTCTAACCCATGTCCGGTCAGATTCAGAATGAGTTATCCGCCACCGGCACTCTAGCCGTCTCAACGATTGTTTCATCGCCCTCAGCTCCGTGGAAAACCACGGGGCTGTCCGGGGTCCATGCAATCGGAGAGGGCGCTTCGGAGCCAAACAGTCAATATCCCTGGTTAACTCTGCATCGCAGCGGGCCACCAGGGAATCAGCTGAAAGGCCATCAACATGGGATAAAACATCCCCTACCACTCTCTGGAAACCATTTGGATCCATTAAGTGGTGGGGGCGGACCATCCAAATTGGTCCCACCTCCCTGCAGAGGGGAAGGGTCGCGGAGAAGTCCAGTTACACCAGGAAGTGATCTGACCATGGCACTTCTTTCGTTTCGCTTTTACTTAGTGTCAGATCACCCACATCCATAGAGGTGAACACCAGGTCCAAGGCATGTCCGCGGCTATGAGTTGGGCCAGACTTATTCAGGGACAGCCCCATGGAGGCCATGCTTTCCACGAAGTCCCGAGCGGCCCCTTGTAAGGTCGTGTCGGCATGGATGTTAAAATCCCCTAGGACAACCAAGCTAGGTGTCTCCAGGAGAACATCCGCCACAACCTGAAGCAGCTCAGGCAGGGAATCCTTGGGGCAGCGGGGAGGTCGGTACACCAAAAGGAATCCTGTACTGCCCCTATTGCCCAACTTCCAGAACATGCACTCAGAGAACTGGGTCTTCCCAATACCAAAATATTTTCTTTTGGAAATTATAGGGACAGAACTACCTAAACTGTACAGAAACTGATTCATGTATGCCACTACAGCGGCAAGAATGTTGCAAAGAATGTTACAGAAGTCCCAGCAAAGGAAGAATGGATACAAACCTAATGGAAAATGCAGAAATGGCGAAACTTACCAGAAGAATAAGAAATCAATATAACATTCTTTTATAAAAGAATGGAAGTGGTTTACTGAATATTTACAGATAAATTGTAAACAGATAAAAACATTGGCAGGATTATTGTAATAACCTGCTGTTTCATAAGAGTATATATTTAAAGAAGATGAATAATTGAGCAAATTAAGTTAATTTGGGTGAGATATGCAGAAGATATTAAAAATAAATTTAAGGAACCACAGAAAGAGGGGGAAGGAAGTCAAGTTTTGACATGTTAAAATGATTGTAAAAATAGTGAAATGTATAAACTTGAAAAATATAAATAAAAAAATAATTAAAAAGCAATGCAAGCTAGTGACCACCATATAATTTGACAATAAATTCCATAGGGGCATTATTGCCTTGTGTGAGAGAATTTTTTTCCTTTATCTGTGCTGAACCTACTTCCAACTGGTTTTGTTGGATGACACCCGCTCACCCCATCCCAGCAAGCTCCAGTTTTATCAGAGAGAGAACAAATTCCCACCCCTCATACCTTCTACACCATTCATAATTTTACACACCTTTCTCCCTTGTGATGTCAGATCATCCTGTTTCATGGCAGGTCTTGAAAACAAGCAGTAGCTCGCAACTCTTGATTAATCTCACCTAATATTCTTTAACTACTGTTCAATTCAAATTTCATTGAATATTGTTCTTCACTCTCATGACCTCAAAATAGAGTTCATGATGCCTCATTATCTCAGGCAAATATGCCAGTGAGAAAAATGGGAGGGAAGTTTTGTTTGCGATTAATCTTGGATAAGGCCAGAAAAAGAGATCTTATCAGCTGTCCCACTTTCCAGCACTGCCAATTATGAAAAAGACTGAATTGCTCCTGGGGCAATTTGAGCAGAAGACGCAGAGGGAACACGAACTCAGCAAAACAGATCAGTTAACAAAATGGGACTGGTTTGGCTGGGATAAGCTATATATATATCTTTCTTTAAAAAGTGAAGTGTCTTATCTGCTCTACAAGCATATAATCAGGAATGAGGAAATGCCACAAGTTATTGATAAGTCTGGCCTTTCTTCGGACACTCCGAGTTCATTAGACTTTGAGATGGCATCTCGCCGCATGAAAAGATTTCTGCATTTCTGTCTGCCTGCCTGTCTTGCTATGGCAAACTCCCCATTCAGACTCCTTGCAAATATCAAATGAAGACAAGCCTTTACAGCTCTGCGGCTACAGCCTCTGCACTCGGCCATAGTTGAAGGGTGCCTTCGTCAGATCCCTGAAGAAAAGAGAGTTTGCCCATGTGGTGATGATGTGCCTGAAGATTTATTTACCCACTACTTACTAGTCTGCCCAAACTGCAAGGACTTAAGACCAGTCTTGTTCAAAGACTTATCATTATTTATTAAATTTGTATACGTCGATATCAGAACACAAAATTACAATATAAAAAACACAAAATACATAATGAAAACACAAAGACAACCCAAAAATCCCCTCTTCCACAACACATCTTGAAAGGGTGTCAGATGTCAATCAGCCAAATACCTAATTAAAGAGAAATGATTTCACCTGGCGCCTAAAGGTGCACAATGGAGGCGCCAGGCGGACCTTCCTGGGGAGACCATCCCACAAACAGGGAGTCACTGCAGAAATGGCCCGTTCTCATGTTGCCACCCTCTGGACCTCTTTGTGGAGGGGGTACATGAAGAAGAGCCTCAGGAGATGATCTCAGGGTCCATTGGAGAGATTGTCTGGGTATTGATTAAGTTTTTATTAAGGGACAGGTCCCCCTTTATTCTAAAAAAAGTGGCCTGTTTTGCCTTCAGAGCAAAAATTTCAAGGAGAATTCCCTGGATGCCAAGAAGAAGGTTTGGGGCAAGTAGAGAACCCCAACAGAGATATAAAACAACAATATATGCAGCTAAGTAAAGAGTGGAAATATAAGCTGTTAGAACTTTGGAAGGAACTTAGAATGGCATATTTTAAAGTATGCCAGCATAGAAAGACCACCTTTGGCAAGTTAAAAATGGTTTACCTACAAACTTTCCAAAGGTCAGGTTCATGTGCTTTTCCATACAGCATTCAGAAAAAGTTGCACAGGCAATAAAGTGGTATTTAGTTTAGTCACAAAGTGGTGAAAGTTCCAAATTATTGGTACAGGAACTCAAGAATAGCTTGTTAGAGTCATGTGATCTGAGCTTGGAGCAACCAGCTCAGATCTCCTCAGACACTGAGCTTCTCTGGTAGACTGGAGTAAGAGGCTTGAATACCTTCCTCCCAAGGTGAGAGGGAGTGACCTAGGTAAGCCTCACAGGACAGTTTACTCTATGGCATTAACCCCTTCATGCATTAATTAGACTTAAACATGTTGGTTACATGAGGCTGCTTATTCAAAAAAAAAAAAAACCCATTTGCTTCATCATCTATACTATAAACCTTCATATACTGCCGTTGTCTCTTAAGAATCCCTTCTCAAGACAAAAATATAGCTAACTTCTTAAACCTTTCCTCCTAAGACTTTGTCTTGCCCTCCTCATCATTGCTGCCCCCATCCATGCAGCTTCTCCATCCATCCAAGCAAGAGGCATTATCACAAGCCGGGATCCATGCTGGCCATGTAGAAGCACTCAATGAATGGGCAGAGCAGGGTCAGTGAGGAGCAAGACCCTGCGAGGAGAGACCCAAGAGCCGTACAGACAGGAAAAACCCTAACTAGAGTTAAATCTTAACTAGCCTATTTAATTAATTTAATTGCAATTAGCCTAGTTGCAAGAGCCCACTTTCAGATCCATCAAGTAGCTACCCGTGTATGGGGTGCACACACATGTGAAATGACCTTGGCCCAGACAACCCTTTTCAGGGAATGGGGGCATGGATTTGGAGTGGGAGAGGGACGTGCCCACAGCTCCAGCCTCATAAATGCTTGTGCAAGAAGAACTCATGGTGCCAGCAACTGCTCTCTCCCCTGCTGGCTGCTTAAGCAAGGGAATACCCAACTCTTATTGAAGGTAGCGCTCACTACGGGGGGGGGGGGTGTGGCTGCAGCTCCTCTTTCAAGCACAGTCTGAGGGCGGCCACCGCTGAAGCAACACCTGAGTTCTGCTCTCATGTCGTCCTGCACAAAGCTGTGCAAGGTACTCTGGCCTTGTCTTCTGCTGAGGCTTGCACCCAGAAAGCAGAACAGTGTACACTCACAATATTCCAAGCAGAAAGGAAAAAATCAAATAAAATCACTGGGTTTTTTTGCATAAAGTAAGGTCAAGAGGTCAAGCACCGCAAAAGACAACAGCAGGTGTGTCACTCTACATCTAGAGCAGTGTGGGAGTGATCCACTCCCCACAAGCAGCCGCTGGTGATGAATAGGCACAGCAAGATCAATAGCATAAAAACACACCTCAAGAGAGACAATTACTTACATTAATGAGCTGGCCGCTCCCAGAATGTGTTGAGACCAATCTCCAGAGTGTCAAATAATTCCAATTCAGCAGCTTGCATGTTGCAGTCTCTTTGCGAAATTCTAATTTTCCAAGTGTGCACTTGAAGGCTTGCTCTAGAAGTCCCTGGGGAAACACTGTTTTCTTAGTGTCACCCTCTTTTAATGGCTGTGTTGTGTCCATTTATTCTCTCAGACAGAGGCTGACCTGTTTTGACCCACACAACAAGAGAAGGGCATTGATCGCAAATGTTGGCATATATGACGTTTGAAAATGTGCAGGTAAACGTGCGCTGCTTGGTATGGCCAATATGTTTGGTCCCCTTAGTGTTGCCTAAAGCGATGGGGGGATGCGGGTGGCGCTGTGGGTAAAAGCCTCAGTGCCTAGGACTTGCCGATCGAAAGGTCGGCGGTTCGAATCCCCGCGGCGGGGTGAGCTCCCGTCTTTCGGTCCCAGCTCCTGCCCACCTAGCAGTTCGAAAGCACCCTTAAGTGCAAGTAGATAAATAGGGACCGCTTACTGGCGGGAGAAGGGACGCGGGTGGCGCTGTGGGTAAAAGCCTCAGTGCCTAGGGCTTGCCGTTCGAAAGGTCGGCGGTTCAAATCCCCTCGGCGGAGTGCGCTCCTGCTGCTCGGTCCCAGCGCCTGCCAACCTAGCAGTTTGAAAGCACCCCCGGGTGCAAGTAGATAAATAGGGACCGCTTACCAGCGGGAAGGTAAACGGCGTTCCGTGTGCTGTGCTGGCTCGCCAGATGCAGCTTGTCACGCTGGCCACGTGACCCGGAAGTGTCTTCAGACAGCGCTGGCTCCCGGCCTATAGAGTGAGATGAGCGCACAACCCTAGAGTCTGGCAAGACTGGCCCATACGGGCAAGGGTGCCTTTACCTTTACCTTTACCTTTAAAGCGATGGGGGACAGAACTGCCCTTGGGTTTTGCAGCAGCTTTGAACTCCACAAGAGAAAGGTGGAGATGGCGAAACTACACATGATGTTCATCCCACTGCCTGTTCTCCAGTGCAGGATTTTGCTTTCACAAATAATCCAGACTGGGGCCTTGATCTCTGTGTGTGAGGCAAAGGGACCTTAACCCTTTGTCCCCTGTTGCAGTCCAACTTGCATCATAGATACCTGCCATTTGCATGGAGGGAGAAAATTCACATTAGTTTCAATGTGAATTGGAGAATTTTGAAAGCTACTTAGGACAGCTACTTAATATCTTCCTAGAGTACAATTGCATTTTCCAAATAGTTGGGAAACTTTGGAAATCTACGCCACCAAATATATCATACTAAATAATAGATTTATTTTATCAAGAATGTGTTTGGTGATGATATCATTGGACATTTCACACTTTACAAAAATTCCAAATTCCAAATGGAATACTGAAGTGTGGGTAAAGGTTGACAGCCTTTAATTTGAAATAATAATAATAATCAACAGTACAGTGATGTACAGTGATGTCTACTAAGTCCTTTTTGAATATTTTATTTATAATTTTCCAACAATACAGTAATTCACACATTAATAATAAACATCACATTAACCATTGACTTCCCTTCCACCCTTCCATGGTTTCTTCCAAATACCAATTGCTGCTGCATATTATAATCAATCTATACCTTATTTTTCTCCTTTTATTCTCAAAATCCCTTTTACTGCTGAATTTACTCTAAACCTACTAACAATCTAACCTGTTTACAATACTTCTTCATACAGTCTACAAACATTTTCCAATCCTCCGTAAAAGCTGTTTTGTCTTGGCCTCTAATTCTACTGGTTAGACTTGCTAATTCTGCATACTCCATCAGTTTCAACTGCCACTCCACTTTCGTGGGAACTGCCCCCTCCCACCACTTGTGAGCATATAGAATTTGGGCTGCAGTAGTTGCACATATAGGTCTCCTAAGCCCTGTTTAGTTCAACAAGGTTTAATGTTAGCAGTATAATTTTTTATGAATACTAGAGGCTGATAGCCCTGCTTGTTTTGCTTGTCCTCCCCAACCAATCCCTTTCCCGTCCCGGTTTCTGATTTGTGCCTATTTCCATAGGAGCAATGTTGGAGGGTATGTTCTAATTTGCAACCACCCAACTCCCAACTCTGGCCTTTGTCTTTCTAACTGCCAGCGAGTTGAGGGGGGAGGCATTTGTAATCTGGCACAGAGCCACATCCTTTGTTACCTTAATGGCCCATACTTACCTCACAAGGAAGCTAGCCTGGTTGTTCCAGGAATTGAATCCATGCTGTATCCAGGAATTAGAAGGGGCCCTTGCATACAGCCTACTCCCTGCAAAACTCATAACATTATCAAATGTTCTGTGCCCTAAAAACACCCAATTGATATTCAATGTTAATTTTGGTGGAATAAAATTGTTTTACTTCTTGGCAAACAATGACGTACACAAAAGCTCTGCAGAATGTGCAGAGCACAGGAAATCCTTGCAAAAGCCAGGCATTAGTCACCCAAGAGACAATATAAAGCAGTAATTATGATGCTCTTTATCGTAACAGTTTCCAGATGGGTAGTAGCTGTGCTAGTCCATTGCAGCAAAACAACATGCTCATGTCACCTTTATTATGACATAAGATTTTGTGGACTACAGCCCACTTCATCAGATGCACAAAAGCTAATGCCATAAAATTTGTTAATCTTTCAGATCCCACAAGTCTCTTTCTGTATAAGTTTGTGAGATGTTTTATTGTGTTTTTAATATCCTGTTGAGTGCTGCCCAGAGTCGCAGGGGCAACCCAGTCAGATGGGCAGCATACAAATAATAAAATTACTGTCTATTACTATTGCTATTATTACTTCACCTGTCTCTTGCCTTAGCTAAACAAGCCTAGATGACAGATCCAGACCTTTCAACATTCCTTCATCCCTACAGCTTCTTTACTAAACCTCTTCCCAAGGACTGGAACATGCTGGAAGAGGAGCCCTTACAGATCATCTGCACTACACCTGCCCAGGATGTCTATGTTGGTGGTCTATATCATTCTGCCAAGTGATTTTACTATACATAGAATCATAGAATCACATAATTGTAGAGTTGGAAGGGACCATGAGGATCATCTAGTCCAACTCCCTGCAATGCAGGAATATTTTGCCCAACGTGGGTTCTCAAACCCACGACCCTGAGTTAAGACTCTCATGCTCTACCAACTGAGCTACCCCTAATCTGCTACAGATGTTTGGTAAACCCTGAGATTTAGCACTGTGAGGAAGGGAGGAACTGTGCAAAACTTTAGAAACCTGGAGTAAGAAAAGGTCTAGGGGAGACGGTAATGTCATCAACCTCAAGGAACACTTCTTCATCAGATGAGTCCATAGTAATTGGATATGGCAGGCAGAGAAATCTTCAGAACTGGATAACATCCAGTAGCTTTTTGTTCACAGGACTGAGGTAGAGAGGGCCAGTGGTTCTCTTGTCTTTTGCATCAGAAGCTCTGGGGAGGTTCTTTTTCTTCCAGGATTCTTCTGTTCTCTACTGCCTGTGGCACTTGGATGATTCCCTCTTCACAGGCTGAAGCCCTGAAGCCAACAGTGAGAGGAACTTCAGTCTGTATGGGATAGATGATTTCACTCTGTATGTCCTGCTTCTTAATTTGAGGTGTGTTTGAAGCTAATGCATTTGTAGTGGTATTATCTACATGTCTACTCAAAGGGATATCCCATCAAGTTCAAAAGGGTTTACTCCCAGGTATTGGAGTGCAGCTTAAGTTACTTACTGGCTGGTAAAAAGCACTGTGCCTATTGTCAGGTGCACATTGTTCCTTAATGAATGAGGAGTGAACTTGAGAATGTGACTCTGAACTTCAAACCATCAACAACTCCATTTGGTCCAAATTAATTTTCAGTTTATTTTTCCTCATTTATCCCATAACTGATCCAAGACATCAGTTAAGGAGCACAGTTGTCACCTGAAGTCTAGGGTTTGTCAAAGTGGGTGCCAATAAGCCTGCCGGTAACTCCTATGGTGGCAACAAAAACCCACAATGTGTGAGAAAGTGTTAGTTCCTCTTCTTCAGTCCCTGATTATACTCTCCTACATGGAACATTCTTACATTTTATTGGATGCCAGGATTGAACACACTCCTATTCTGAACAGAGTGCAAAAATGTTTCTCTCTGTGAGCAAGCATAGTGATGGTGGATGTTTTCCCATTGATGTGGAGAATGTCCACATCATGCTCTTAGATGTGGCAGCCATTATGTGCTACGCCATACCTCATAAGATTCTCTCAAAATTCCAAATGTGCCAAACATTTGGTGACCCATCAACGGACTAAGACTGAGGGAGGAACCAGAATTGGGAGAAGAAGAAGAACAGAACGGAGGAAAATTTGAGGAAGACGAAGAAGAGGAAGAAGGAGAAGAGATAGAAAGAATATAGGATAAAATTCAAACTCGATCAGTGGTAAGGAAAATGACGTTAAAATTATGGAACTGGAACATTAATGGAATGAACGATAAGAAAAAACGGAACGGAATTGAACGTATTCTAAAAAAGAAGAACTTGGACATCATATGCCTTCAAGAAACACATGTGGCCAAGAAGCATAGGAAAATTCTTATCAATAAGAGGTTAGGGAATGAATTCATATCTTCGGATAAAGAGAAAAAAGAGGTGTAGTACTTTACATTAAAAATAAAATTGAATCTCACCAATTATTTAAGGATGAGGAAGGAAGAATAATAGCGGTTCGTATTAAATGGCAAGGTGAAATATTGATAATAATCGGGATTTACGCACCAAATGGAAACAAAACAGAGTTCTTTAGATTATTGGAAGAGAAGCTATTTGAACATATGGACCAAAAAATCATAATAATGGGAGACATGAACGGGGTGGTTTCAATTGAAATGGACAGATTAAGGAAAACGAAGAACAAAGAAGGAAAGTTACCTAAGACATTCTTTATGATGACCAAGAATTGTAATTTAATAGATATTTGGAGACTTAGGCACCCTCTGGAGAAACAATTTACATATCACTCAGAACCGAACCAATCAATGTCAAGAATAGATCAAATATGGATATCAAATGAATTGACACCAAGAATTCAAAAAATTGAAATCCAGGCCAAAGTTGTTTCTGATCATAACCCAATAGAAATGGAGATGAAGGGAGCTGAAGAACGAACTTTCAGATGGAGGCTGAATGATAACCTATGGGATGATCAAAAGTTCGTTGAAAAATACGGAAGAAACTATTTGAATATTTTTTGAATAATTTAGATAAAGGGGTGAAAATAAGTGTGGTATGGGATGCAAGTAAGGCAGTAATGAGGGGCCTTTTTATTCAACAAAATGTGTGGAAAAGAAAAAACAAAGAAAGAAGGACAAAAGAGATTCTGAGACAGATTATGGACAATGAACAAAAATTGATTAAAAACCGAACAATGAAAGGATAATGCAGGAAATAAAATCCCTCCAAACCCAATTTGCTATGTTAATAAATAAAGAGGTTGAGTGGAACATCAAAAGGTTAAGACAGAAAAATTTTGAATTCGCCAATAAGTCAGGAAAATGGCTTGCTTGGCAAGTTAAAAGGAGGAACGAACAAAATACAATCAGCAAAATACAAATAAATGGAGAAGAAACAACTGACCCGAAAGGAATTAGAAAAGGATTCGTGGATTTTTATGAGCAACTATATAGGAATAAAGAAAGGAACAATATAAAAAAATAGAAAGATATTTAAAAGAAAAGATGGTGAGGAAGATTTCGATAGATCAAAAGGAACAGCTAAATGCCCCAATATATAGAGAAGAGGTAGAAGAAGTGATAAAAGAATTGAAAAGAGGGAAAGCACCGGGCCCAGATGGGTTTACATCGAGCTATTATAAAGAAATGAAAGATACATTGATGACTCCGTTAATTGATGTGATGAATAACATCCTAAAGGAAAGAGATATCCCAGACACATGGAAGGAGGCATTTATCACAATAATTCCAAAGCAAGACTCGGATCTAACCCAAGTTAAGAATTACAGACCTATCTCTTTATTAAATACGGATTATAAGATTTTTGCTGGAATCCTAGCCAAAAGACTAAAAAAGATACTAACAAAAATTATACATGAAGACCAAGCGGGTTTTTTACCGGGCAGGCAAATAAGAAATAACACAAGAAGTATAGTTAATTTAATTGAATACCTTTCTGATAGATGTGATAAACCAGCCAGTCTAATCTTCGTAGATGCGGAGAAAGCCTTCGATAATGTAGTCTGGGATTTCATGTTAAAAAATTTGGAAATTATGGAGGTGGGCCAAGAGTTTCTAAATGGCATAAAGGCAATTTACACAGAACAGAAGGCGAGACTGATAATTAATAATATCATCACTGAAGATATAAAAATATCCAAAGGAACAAGACAGGGATGTCCGCTTTCGCCGCTGCTCTTTATTGTGGTTTTGGAAGTCTTACTAAATGCAATAAGACAAAATAAACAAATTAAAGGGGTAACATTAGGTTCAAATGAGTACAAAGTTAAAGCCTACGCAGACGATGTGGTCCTAACAGTGGAAGAACCTATAGAGAGTATAAGGGAGATCTTGGAAGAGATGGAGAAATTTGGGAAGCTAGCAGGATTTAAATTGAATAAGAGTAAGACAAAAATGATTGTTAAAAACTTAGATCAGGATAAGATTGAATTAGTACAGCAACGAACCGAAATTGAGGTTGTTAAAAGGTTAAATATTTGGGACTCTGGCTTACCAACAAAAACATCGATTTATACCAAAATAACTACACCCCGGTTTGGAATGGAATTAAAAAGATCTGGAGGTCTGGGCCAGGATGAAATTATCATTCTGGGGAAGAATATCTATGGTCAAAATGATGGTGCTCCCAAAGTTGTTATTTTTATTTCAAACGATACCCATATTAAAAGGTACAAAAAATTTTAAAGAATGGCAAAAGGTGATCTCTAGATACGTCTGGGAAGGAAAGAAGCCTAGAATTAAGTTTAAGTTATTAACAGATGTAACAGAAAGAGGGGCTTCGCCCTACCAGACATGAGACTGTATTACGAAGCAGCATGTCTGTGTTGGATAAAAGAATGGGTAAAGCTGGAGAATAAAGAACTACTAGATTTGGAAGGGCACAATAATAGATTTGGGTGGCATGCGTATCTATGGAGGGATAAAAAGAGAGTGCATAAAGAATTTTGTAGCCACATCTTTAAAGGTCCACTAATAGAGGTCTGGGACAGATATAAAAATATATTAGAACCGAAAACCCCACATTGGCTATCCCCGTTGGAGATAATAAGTGTAAAGAAAGTTAATATGAGAGAAAAGTGGGGAAAGTATGGAGAAATGGTTACTAATGAAGGAGGGAAGTGGAAAGTAAAATCATACGATCAGGTTAAAGTATTTACATATGACTGGCTGCACTATTTTCAGATAAATGAAATGTTTAAAGAAGAGGTGAAGGAAAGGGGTTACGAGGAAAAGGAATCGGAATTTCAAAAAGAGATAATAAACAACGAATATAAAAACCTGTCAAAAATGTATAAAATATTGTTAGAGTGGAACACGAAGGATGAGGAAGTAAAATCTGTCATGATACAATGGGCAAGGGATTTCGGCTATAACATTCAACTAGAGGATTGGGAAAAGTTATGGAGAGTGAACATAAAATTTACGGCATGCACGTTACTGAGAGAAAATGTGATGAAGATGCTTTACAGGTGGTATATGACACCTGTAAAACTGGCTAAGATGTATAAGGCAGATAACAAATGCTGGAAATGTAAACAAAAGGAAGGGACTTTCTATCATCAATGGTGGGAGTGTAAGAAAGTTAAAAGCTTCTGGGATGAAATTTACAACGAAATGAAAAAGATGTTAAGTTACACTTTTTTACAACAGCCAGCAGCCTTTTTATTAGGCATTGTGGGAAAGGATATCAAAAGGAAGGATTGCAAACTCTTCCAGTATGCGGTAACGGCAGCCAGAATTGTGATAGCTCAGAAGTGGAAGCAGGAAGAAATCCCAACGATAGCAGAGTGGAGAGTAAAACTGACAGAATACGCTGAGTTGGATAAATTAACAGGGAAAATCAGATATACTAAGGATCAAAAGTTTATTGAGGACTGGGGGAAATTTGTGGGTTATCTGGAGAATAAATGTTTTGTAAATACAACGCTAGTGGGATTTAAAGAGGC